TATTTTGTTCAAAAACTTTTCACATTTCCTTCATTATTTCTCAGCCACATTCAAAATTCAAATTGCGCTAAACAATAGCAACATTTCTAGATCTCTGTCTGGCTGTATGTCTCTGTCTCGATGCAGTATAAATAACTTATGAACCAAATTAGAGACAAAGAGACTTGTGCATTAAACTACGTATGTGCTCTACCGGTCATGCAATCAGCTTCGATCATGCAATCAGCTCCAATTATTCAATCAGCTCCGATCATGAAATCAGCTCCGATCATGCAATTAGCTCCGATCCATCAATCAGCTGCGATCATGCAATCAGCTCCGATCATTCAATCAGCTCCGATCATCTAATCAACTCCGATCATGGAAGAAGCTCAGATTAAGCAAGAAGCGACATTGGCGAACAGTTACCTCTCAGCTTCTTCCTGGTCATCATGTTCAGCTAAAGGATTTCGATCATCCCACTGCCGTTGTGCTAATCATCTTCTCAACTTATTTTTTTTTTAATTTTTTTTTTATTAAACCCTAGATTTGTCAGAGACTGCGCGATAACGACCAGTATTGTAATAAAGTCATACGCATATAGCTGTATGTGTTTGGTACATCGTCTAGTTCTTGGCAATTTGCAGTGAAGAAAAGATTCACAGTGTGTCACAAAACTTGTAAATTTAGGAGTGAGTAACGTAAAAACCATTTCAGCTTTACAGTTGCTAAACACTAAATTGTTTTTCTTCTCGGTGTAAATTGACCCTGTGTATCGCCGTGCTAAATATTAGATATGCATTCAAAGAAAAAAATCATAGAGAATTAGGTAAGCAAATTAAAGCAACTAAATGTGAACAAATATTTTAATTTGGAATATGGAAAAAAACTGTTTTTTCCCTCTGTGTGTGTGTGTGTGTGTGTGTGTGTGTGTGTGTGTGTGTGTGTGTGTGTGTGTGTGTGTGTGTGTGTGAAATGTATTACACCCCGCGGGTGTTTAATTGCAACTTACAACACTATTAGTGTCACTTTTATGCGTCTACTGTCATCTCACTTTTAGGGGATAGTACCTGGGTGTTTAGATGTAGATAACACTGGATAATGCACATTCTCTAACATTTCATACAATGTTTCCAGTGGACAATACTTTGTGACTAACGACATTTCCAAGCATGACTCTTTTAGCTCCATGTAACTTACTATAGTTCATCTGATATCTTTCAATGCCCCGGAAACAGACTTGGCATTATAAATTGAAGAGAATTCATAGTAAATTAACACAGTGCGTTAAAGACAGGTCAACCAAATCAATATTATTATAGTAAATATCTCTTAATTGATACAGGTGGTGTTAATAATTTAATAAAAACTGACTGAGTATGCCAACATTTGTTCTTCAAAGACTGTTAAAAATGTTGATGAGGATATCGTTTGAGTTCTTAACAGTTGACATGACAGTTGTACTTAATAACCTCGCCAATAGAAGGTATTAACTGCCATATTGCACCTTGCATATGCACTTGTCATTATTGTATGGTGTTATATATTGGAAAGTGTTTAATTTTATTTTCAATTTAATTTTCAAACGTAACTATATATGAACTCTCCTTTCTTTATTTCTATTTTTCTTTCTTTCTTTCTTTCTTCCTTTGTGATGTATATATATATATATATATATATATATATATATATATATATATATATATATATATATATATATATATATATATATATATATATATGTGTGTGTGTGTGTGTGTGTGTGTGTATAGCTGTTCATGTACACAATCGTCTTAATAGGCCGATGAAAATGATGTGGTATGGGTGTATGAGATTTGACAAACGAAATATTGGAATTGTCGCTATAGTTTTACGTATCAAGAAATTATCACGCCAGTCTATTTTATGTAGCATTCCTTAGGTGGGCTTACAAAAAAAAAAGACAAACAGAATGGCAGCTGCAGGCGCAAATCCAGTCTTGTAAACGAGACCACTGAGAATAATGCAAAGATGTCAGCACGACTGTCATTCAATTTCTGTGGTTTATTTAGGAGTAACTCAGTTGTCAGTGTGATACTCTTAAGTACTATATATATATATATATATATATATATATATATATATATATATATATATATATATATATATATATATATATATATATATATATATTACTTAAGTATATATATATATATATATATATATATATATATATATATATATATATATATATATATATATATATATACATATATATATATACACACACATATATACATATATATGTATACATATATATATATATATATATATATATATATATAGATGCAATAAACTGACGACGAACAGTACGAAACTAGCAACTAACTAGCCTAGTTAGTTACTAGTTTCGTACTGTTCGTCGTCAGTTTATTGCATCTATTTTAATTAATCCCTGACAAACGTGATCCCTTGGTGGATCCAGTACGCTTGAGAGGGTTGTTATTCGCCATATGATTTGCATTCTTTATATATATATATATATATATATATATATATATATATATATATATATATATATATATATATATATATATATATATATATATATATATATATATATATATATATATATATATATATATATATATATATATATATATATAGAGAGAGAGAGAGAGAGAGAGAGAGAGAGAGAGAGAGAGAGAGAGAGAGATATATAAATATGTAATTGTCTGATTGCCACAGATGTTGAATATATAAACAGTCATGATGGATTTTTAATGTAATAGATACAATCTGATTTTTTGTCTTTTGTCTCATTAACACCTCTTCCAAAAGATGTTTGAGCCATTCTAATTTACATTGGAATGAAAATTGTCAGTGGTATATAGGGACATTTTTGATAATTCTGTTCTGTCATACTTAAAAGAATTGATTGATCTTATTGTTTGACAGGAACCCTGTAGTCGTGAAGTTTGAAAATTTATCACACACTGCATGAACGGATGTAGTGTAGCGAGGTTTATAGCCTTGCCGTTAGAAAACAAATAATGATTTTTTGTGTGTGTGCATAGTTTAATGTGCTAAATGGAGCGGTTTTCGATTAATTTTGAAATAATTATTAAATCGATTTGGGTGGAAAGAAACCTTTAGTTTGCCATTTGATTTGCAGTCATTACCATACATTATCTGCAAAGTAAAAACAAACAACTGGTTTATTGGATTCCAGATCGCCAAAAGGGCACGGTGCCTGTCACGGTGCTATTTCATCAGGATCAGGAATAAAGGGTAAAACCGCCCGGTTACAAAATGGGCCAATCCGATTTCAGGATTGGGTAAGGGGAAAATATAATATTGCACAAGGTGGAAACTACAGATTTGACGGTATTATATTACGTTGGTAATGTTTCGGCAATATTTATATTGGTTGTTACGTTTATCTTATAGCTTTGAAAAGTATATTCAACGCTGTTGCAACTAAATTGAGAGAGAGAGAGAGAGAGAGAGAGAGAGAGAGAGAGAGAGAGAGAGAGAGAGAGAGAGAGAGAGAGAGAGAGAGAGAGAGAGATTCTTAACACTTTATTGTATCTCTGAAGCATTTTGACCAATGCATACATTTGAAAATTTCTGATCTTGGTGGTCAAATGTATTAATTACTCGTGAATTCTGATGTACATGGTTATGGTAAACGTTGCATGTAAAGTAAGATGTTATTGAAGAAGATCAAGTATCACCAGGCCCTTTCTTTTTAAAATGAATTTTGCATGCAGCGAAGTTTTCAATCATTTCTGGATTTGGGGCGAATCTTTTCTGGTCGCCTCCGAGAGAGCGTTTGCATATTGAGTACATTTGGCATGTACTAAACTTCCATATTTCAAAATGACTCAGTAAATAAGCCAGATGACAATTAGTAGGGGAAACACCAGACCATTCCGGTGAGTAGTACTTCAAATACACTAGTTTTCAAGTCTGATTTCCTGACTTGTATGTACAGTATTGCTAAAAGTTTAAATGTATAGAGCAACGGGATATACAATCATGATATATGATAAAAGTATGCATTCTACTAATTCCTGTTTCATATTTGAAGCAGAAAATTCCCCTCATCTTCCCATTTTATAATTTTCCTAGTGAGACATAGCGGTGATAGAACAATTTCTTTTCACTTATTGTGAGCCCAAGTTAAGATAAGTTTAATTATAGATAGCATTTGTCCAGATCATTTTATTTCGATAATTTACTATAGTGAAGTATATTTTCATTTTTATTATTCATTCAGTTGTCTCCAATTATTTTGTATTGCTATTGTTGTAACAATTGTTTTGTTTTTCCTTTTTAACATGTAAAATTCAATATCCAGAGTTATTCCATGGATTCACATAATTCAAAATAGTGAATTAGTTCTGAAATATTGAGCACTTTTTAATTCCAACGAATAATTTAAATACGTAACTCCTCTCAACTGAACACAACAGTAAGACTGAATCGATTTGAATTTTAAAACATAAATAAGTAATTCTGATGTAAACAACATTTATACAAAAAGCCAGACACAATAACAGAGCAACTATGAAGGTCAGTTTCCAGTGAAATTCAGTAAATCCGCTACAATATATTAATCCCAATGGCATTCTGCCGTTCACATCATCACAGTGCAGCTCCAACGGGTGGATGATGATTCATATGGAAAAAAAAACTTTTTCAACACACACACACACACACACACACACACACACACACACATTAAAACACTTGAGATTTGTTATGATTCCTAATGCACAAAATGTCGTGGGTAATAATCACAAAATTAACATATCGCAAAATCTCAAGCAGCACCACAATATATATTATTGAGGTTATATTGATCTACATCCGGCGAATATAATGTATATCAAAGTTTCATAGCTTCAGATAGAAGAATTCATTTTCAAGGACAAGAAACATATTTCCTCTTGCTACGTTATTTGAAAAGATATGCTTGCAGTAGTCATCCGGCGTTATTGTCACCATGTCTTGCATTTCATTTCACTAGACAGGGAGTCACGTTAGCTTGTTTGGTAGACCGTTGGACTTTTGCTCAAAGTGTCGCGGGTTCGATACCCGCCGAGGACAGTCCAGGTCAACTGCCTCGACATGTTTGTATGCAAGGTACTTAGCTCCCATTGCCTCGGCATTGTGGTAAAAGTGCCGTTGAAACTGATAAATCAGACCAAATTATTTCCATATGTTAAAATGGTGGTATCCGACTCAATGTTATGTGCTTTCTGTTGTGTTTGTTGTAGATGCTGCCTCACAGTTTTAATGAAAAAGTAATACATGGAAGATTGATTACTTCAGCCTTTCCTGTCTTACAGTTTTCATGAAAAAAGAAATACGTGGAATATCGATTAATTCAGCCTCCAACCATTGGAGCTGAGTCAATATCGATGTAGTATAAATGGATATTTTGAGGCATACATGCCAGGTCATAATTTAAACATGAAATACTTGTTTGCATGTCAGAGAAATACTTGAAATAGAAGTAAATTGAAAATACATGCACACATACAACCCGTATTGTACGTACTTCCGATAGAATTTTGTTTGTCGTTGAGGTATCCAGTGGGTCCAAAACCACGGAACGGATATTGCGGTGTGATATTCAATATTGCATCCTTAAAAAAATGAAACAGACAATCAAATCATTTCGCCAGGCCATTAACAGCTACAACTCAAATTATGTAGGTCAGTAATGTACATGTTTCCTTTAATCTAACCTCGTGACCTACTCATAGTGTGCGACCGAATTGCCTTGTTGCGGCGACTAGTCTTGGTACGCCGTTGTTTAGTAGGTCATTTATTCGAGAAAGGTATGCGAAACTTTTAACAAAGCACAAAAATACAAATATTTCGCTTTAAGCAGACCGATAGAATTGAAAATTGCTTCTTTAGTTGAGAAGTTTTCGCAGGAGTTTAGACATGATGAAGATTGTTGTCCTTAAAACTCATTACATATCAGTGAATGGGTGTTATTACAGATCTCCATGACTTCGAGAAAAGGGTCGTCGTTGCAGTTTTTTTTTTTTGTATTTCTTGTAAATAACACAGATTAATGAAGCCTGAGATTGGCTAGTTACTGGATTATTGTAATATGCATAGTAAATGTCTCCAGAAACAAGAAGCAAAAAGAGAAGAGAAATTTAACCATGAGCTTATTGGTAAACGAGTAAAATCGTTGTCCATGGATAACCTTGCGACCAACAGCTTTTTTAGAAGAAAAAAGTTCCAAGATGGCTTTTACAATCATGAAAAGACTGGACAAATTGCACCCTCGCTGCTTGTAATTCGGGCTTTAGAGAATTACATAGGTTGATTGGATAAAATCTGATGTGCAGGTTAGGGTTGACGGACATGACACATGCCAGTTGGTTAAATGTTTGAGCCACCGGAAACTTTTCGGCTGTTGCTGAAACAAGGGTGGATGATCTACAGCTGCTAAATTCACTGGCGGCAAACGCTTGTTGTTTACATCTTACAAAAAGGTCATGTGGAATGATTAAATTTTTTTTTTCTCCCCTATTGTCTATTTAAAAGCTCACTGTCTTGTAGCGATACCAGGTGCGTACCATAGTCAGTGCCGTCTTAAAAACATGGTAGGTTCTGGGCAAAGCAATGCACTGGGGCCCCCTACCGGCACTACTATTCATTAACAATATGGGCAGCATGATGCCCCTGGAAGCGTGAGGCCCTCGGCAACTGCTCAGTATACCCGTGCCTTAAGACTGCGCTAACCATTGTTACACAGGATATGTAAGTCTATTGGTGGTCAAAACCATCGATTTGCATGACTTTCTTTCGCCCAATTTTCTGCGAATGCGATTAAAAGCTGTAAGAATAAATCGAAAAAGTGTTCAGATTTAACCTTTATTTGCTGACCTTTTTAACAAAAATGTACCCCTGCATATAAAGTCTAGAATAGCATTATTTGTCAAAATATTTACCGGTTTTACACAAACATGTTGTAGTATTTTAAATACATTGAAACAGTGAATATTTTAAGTGGGGTTACGGCAGAATCATGACACGGCGATTGTGTTCGATTGCCTTCATATATATGATAGAAGTTTTCACTTTGATGAGGGTAACTGGCTTTCTGAGCCTTTAAGTGTATGTTTGTACCTTATAGTTCAGCAAAGAAAACGGTTTTGGACAAGATGGAATTGGTTCAGAATAACAACATAAGACGTAAATATACATTGGTTCAAGATGTTAACATAAAACTGATACAATATGAGAAAGGAAAATCAATTTTTTATATCCTGGAAGGAGCTATCGCACGAGAAGCGTGATCCTGAGGATTTTTTTTTTGGTTTCTTTTAGATCACATATTAATTTCTTTCTTATCGCCATCATTAGATTAATTTCTTTTCACGTTATTGCTATCCAATTTTTGTTGTGCATGTCCAAAACTATTTCGTTTCTAACATGTATGTAAAGTATTTCGTGAAAAGCACCAACAGAGACGATTTTAAAAATACTAAACAAACAGGAAAATAATTATTACAAAGTTATGCTTACACGTATTTATAAATTAAATGAATGCAATAAGTGAAACGATAAATGTTCTTTAAAAAAATGAAAACTACAAATTTCGCTTTAATAACCCGAATATATCGCTATCCCTAATTTATATCTGATTTGTTCGACCACCCACCAAACAAGCCAGTACTATATAAAGAAAGCTTTTCTACGATTTGACGTAGAGCAAGGTCTTCCTCAGTGGACCCCAAAAGAGTACACACAACTTAACGCGCGTGCACACACACACACACACACACACACACACACACACACACACACACACACACACATTTTGGCATAAAGGATGAAAATTGTCTGCAAGAATGAAAAGCTCGACACCGAAGAAAAAAAAAACAAAATAACTAAAGACAACTAAAAAAGAAGAAATCACATAAGAGCAGTCTGTATGGCAGCCATCAGTACCCTTGGGGTGTACTGCTTCCTATGACCTATTTAGTTACGTCATTTTGAGGTGAATAGGTTTCAGAGGGCGCCAACTATAGTGGTGTATTGTTTCCGGCCTGAAGCTTTACATCCTGGATATAATTTCAACTTCGATAATAATAATAATAATAATAATAATAATAATAATAATAATAATAATAATAATAATAATAATAATAATAATAATGATGATGATGATGATGATGATATAAATAATAATAATAATAATAATAATAATAATAATAATAATAATAATAATAATAATAATAATAATAATAATAATGATAATAATATAATAATAATATAATAATAATAATAATAATAATAATAATAATAATAATAATAATGATGATGATGATGATGATGATGATGATGATGATGATGATGATGATACAAATAATAATAATAATAATAATAATAATAATAATAATAATAATAATAATAATAATAATAATAATAATAATAATAATAATAATATGGAAACTATTTGAGGGTGAGGTTACATCACACTTTGTGTGACTATTGCAAACTGATACTCGTGTATCTAAATTGCTTCCATAAATATTCACCTTTGGATTACAATTTTTTCTTTAAAACAAATGCTCCATGCAGTGAGCAATACTAGTTTCATTATGCCTACGTTCCATGCTTAATTTTCATCTTTCATTTGAATCAATATCGTGATATTAAAAATTCGATAATTTTTTAATTTCTGGATGCCTACGATCAAACTTGCATTTATCAGTTAAGGCATTTCTTCGATGACAGCTTCTGTGTAGAGAAAATGAAACGATCATATTTTTTATCTGCATGTGTTTGAAACCTTTCTTTTCAAATCAGTTCCAATGAGCTAGGTGATAATTTCAGTAATAAGTTTTCCAAATGTTTAAATGTCTGAAATTCCGTCGATGAAATAGTCTCTCTCTCTCTCTCTCTCTCTCTCTCTCTCTCTCTCTCTCTCTCTCTCTCTCTCTCTCTCTCTCTCTCTCTCTCCTCTCTCTCTCTCTCTCTCTCTCTCTCTCTCTCTCTCTCTCTCTCTCTCTCTCTCTCTCTCTCTCTCTCGTCTGTAAACCTTTGAGTTCAATAGTCGGCACTGCTTTCCATTTCATTATAATCTGAACATAAAATACTAATTATTTCTTTTCATAGATGCATAGATAATAAGTGTATTGGAAGACATGAAACTGCGGTGTTATAGCATGAATTTGTCTGAGAACAAATTTATGATTTTCAATTTATCTCAAAATGTAGTTTTAAAATATTGCTCAAAATAATAATTAAACCTGTGAAATGACTGATGAAGCTAAATTAAATTTACATAATAATTTTCTCACGTGACCATTTTCCACGTACCTCACGGTTACGTTATCTAAAAACCATCATTCTGATAAGAACTTCAAAACTACACAAAATAAACAAAAATTAACATCTAAGAAAACAGTTTCTCGGATTTCTATATTTATCCATTTATCTAGACGAGCTAATAACACGCAAAAGGAGCCCCTATCGTTTTCAATCCAAATGCCACGCACCTTCGATAATTGCAATTTGTTGACTCTGGGGTCATTTTTGATGAAGGCGATAATTGGCTCAGTTTTCGTCATAGCCTTTCAACCTGAAAAGAAAGACAATTTTGGGGCTGGTACTCTTAAAAGATATATCTCCAACGTTATGGAAATCATAAAGCTTTCAAGTAAGAATTTTAACTGTCCATTAACATAATTGCTTAGGTCTATATACAGCATATTATACCTGCAAAAAATAATTGATTAAGTTAGTATTTAAAAATTCAATACTCATGGTTTAAAAATTTTCGATATGGTTACCAAAATCTGTCATATATGTTTATCTACCTTCATATGTTTGTTTCATTCCCTAGTTGGGAGCATGTTGCAGGAAGGGTCAAGCGTAGGAAAAATAAAAAAGAAAATGTTATATAAAACATAAGCCTTGTTATATAAAAACAAGTAATAATTGTAGTTTGATGTGTCACAAATTTCGTATTCCACGACCGCTCCAGTGGCATACGTGATTAGATCGTCAGCCTCGGATGCGAGAAGTAATAGGGGCGAACCCCGGGCGAGTCATACCAAAGACTTAATTTACAA